TCTCGGTGTGTCAATTTTTGCCAGTGTGAGTGGGTCCCACGGGTTAGATAATCTACGTTGAGTTGCTTCCCACAAGGTGTTTAGTATTGTTTCTCTTCCAAGTGTGTGTACGTTGTGCAAAGTGTTCTTGGCGGAGATAAGGACAACGCGTACTGATAACTTTCCTTCATTTGAGAATTAGAATTGTGCACGTTCTGCACATTTATGGTAGTGTCTATCTTTCACTCATTGCTTAAATAAAAGCTATTGGTAGTGCTTATGTGGTAAATACATTATGCTTGGTGCTTATTGAATTCAGAATTGGGAAATTCCTTCGTGAACTAAAAATCTTTATATGGAGCAATAATTAGAATCAATGCACTTTGATCGAAGAGAATCTAATTGCTTTCTTTTTTATCTTTCTTTTACTGTAAGTAGCCAGTCCTTGCCTAAGAATGCCTGCTTTCCTTTCAATGTCTCCCCCCCCCCCCTCTTATCTCAGATGTCTAATTGCAGGCTCTCCCTCGCTTTTTTGTGTTCCTCTACATGAAGGGGAAAATTTAAAATGCATTGTTATAGCCTGAAGAAAAATTTCAATGTGAGCAGTGTTCTACTGAATCAAAAGCTCGTTTAGATTTCCCCAGACTTCTCTTTCAAACAAAAATGATGGCTTGAATCAGTTCACCTTTGGTTTTGAACTTTCAGGCATAAAGCTAAAACTAAAACGGTGAAGAAAATCATCTGAAGATAACAGTGATCAAATCTATCATCACTAAAACACAGGCAATGCAATGTTCCATGAATACTTTTATCCCTTTAAGTTATTGGTATTTTGCTAAATATTTTCTGAACACAACTTTATTTGTAACCACATTATGGATAAATGTATTTGTGTAGATTCTCTTCACACACGCACACACATACACACAAACACACACTCACACACACACACACACACACACACACACACACACACACACACACACTCTCTCTCTCTCTCTCTCTCTCACACACACTCACACACACACACACCCAAACACACACATATAATATATCTTTATAATATATATTTTTGTAATATGTATGTATATTATATAATATACATGTATATCATGTATAAATAAAATGTATATAATATAATAATATATATTATGTGAGAGTGATACTCGCGCGCGCACACACACATATTACATATTTCTCTCTCTCTCTCTATATATATATATATGTATATATATATTATATATATATATATATATATATATATATATATATATATATATATAATCATATATATATGCATGTGTATACATATATTATGTAATACGGGATTTATATAGTTAGCTTACCAGGTTATTGAATTGCGGAAAAGTTATGTGATCAAGATTCATCGATTATTCTCTGCGATGGATCAACTTTCATTGCCAAAATGTCAGCGAAAGGTCTGCAAGTCATTTTTGGGGTGAAAAGAGTCTGTATCCAGCCGGTATTTGTTTTATCTGTTTATTTGTCTGGTTACTGTTTTCCGTTCTGGTTTTTTTTTTTTTGGGGGGGGGGTTGGTGTTCTGGTGACTCGAAAGAAACTGGCAGAATTTTTAAAATGTTTTGAGAATAATGTTGCCGGAAAGGTCGAGAATAGTACCCCCAACAGTATCTGACCTAGAGCCGGCAGTTTGAAAGGACAGATTCGTTTTCCAAGATGCTACATCATTTGTCACAAACGTGAATCTTTCATAGTTTGTTCACTTTCGTTTCGTCTGCCCGTTGTAAAGCATGGTAAAAACAAATCACTCCGTTTAATCTTCTCATGGTCTTTGTATACAGGTCTTAAAGTTGAATGGCCAACAAAATCTAGAAGCCCATGAATGAAGGCTACTGTGAAATACAATTCGAACGCGTATTCTTTGACTTTAACCTAAAGCTAGTCAAAATATGATAATAGCTTTAAAGTTCACGCCTTAAACGTATAAAGTTGACCTATCTTCACCAAGACCATACTTCAATGCACACTCATGAAACACGGCCCATCAAAAGGGTGAGCACTTTTCGAGATCCACGTGGAGATGTCAAAACGCGTCTTGGAATGAAATCTACAAGCTGACAGTGAAAGGTGGTGTCGCTGTATCAAAATGAGCAATTTGTAGGATACGTTTCTGTAAATCATTAATTGTAATGATCTTTTGCGGTATTTAATATACACCTTCACCTCGCCTCACCAATCCCGTAGACTGGATGTCCATCGGGGCGCTTTTGAAGATTTGGCCACCAGTTTCCTGCACTCCTTCTGGTCTTCAGTTTTTCCGAGCGTGTCTTTGATTTCCAGGCCTGTCCATTCCTTGATGTTGTCCTCTCAACTCTTCTTCGGTGTGCCTCTGCTCCTTTTCCCCTGGACGATGCCTTGCAGGATCATCTTGGCAAGGCTGGATAAACGGGTGGTGTGTCCATACCAATGCAGTTTGCATTTCTTGACCAGAGTGAGAAGGTCAGCATATTATGGTCCAATTTCATTTGAGATCCGTTGTTTGACTTCATCCTTTGTGATGTGATCTTTGTATGAGATACCAAGGATTTTTCGGAAACATCTCATCTCCACAGCTTTGATCTTTCTTTCAAGGTCTGCATTCAAGGTCCTGGATTCACATGCATACTAAAATACTGACATGACCAAGGAACACATCAGTTTGATCTTAGATCTGTTGGTGACATTTCTGTCGTTCTGTCGTATTAAATATGTGGCCCAAATTTTAAAACAGTCTTATAACCGAATCATGATTTTTAAAAAAACAACCCAAAACAATGTAGTTTGATCGCCGGGTTACAGGAATACCATGCAAAGTTGCGTGGGCATTGGAAAGTTGATAACTCAAATCAATCTTTTTACGCAGACATATGAAAGTGAATAAGCTTTTTCATTGTTGTACTCTTTCCTGAGTTCCATTTCTTCATATTATAGTATTAAATGGAATAATAATATTTTCATCTCGACAGAATAGCCTGCAGCAGTATAATTTGTGGCTCTGAGAGTATTATTCTTATCTAGAACGGCAGTTTTAGATACATGGTCTACTGATAAGAAAACAGAGCACATGTGTCATTCTATGTCGCAGTTTTCTGCTTTAAACGACAGGCACTCACTCATTTCCTTATTTTGAACTTTCTTAACCCTATGCGTACGCCCTGGGGTAATTTTGTACCCCCGGGTTGTATTTTTCACATTTTAGAATACTTCTAGTGCGATGAGCTCTTTGAAACTTTCAGTATTTCTCAAAAAAATCATTTTGACAGACTGCTATGTAAAGCGTACGGAAAGGATTAACGAGTAAATTTCCTCCTTGGAAAGTGGTGGCCCAGAGTTCCCCACGTCGTATGTATACGATAGTAAAACACAACGTACGGATAGGGTTAAACTGCTGCTTTCTCCCTTATCAGTCAGGTAGAAAAACTCTACGTCTTGACTTTCCAGCGTTTATATCGTAGAGGCCAGGCGCTCCGCCGTCGCCGGCAGTAGACATTACAGTGCGGTCAAAAATTCATGGCACAACATATTATTGTCATATATCTTCTCAACTATCGATCATGGGTTCTCCAATTTTTGCACAGTGACTTGCATCAATTTGTCTTAACAGATCAACATTTTTTGTAAACACCTGCTAGCCGTATTCTTGAAAATTCCTTTAATAAATGCTCAAAAAAGAAAATCCAAGTGGGTGGTTTCTACAGATTTTTAAATGTTTACAGCTGGGTCAATATTGCTTTTGATAGCAAGTCCGTCATATAATCGGGACATTATGCTTAATGAACGCATGTTTTGAAAACTATTAGTGCAAACAATGTGTTCACTATAAAATTGATTTCTTTTAACAAGTTTGCCACTAAAAACTGTCATTGATGAGTTGTAACGTAGGCCATATGCGCAATCAAAATGTGTGAGAAGTGGGAAGTGCTGTGAACAATCCCATTTTACGTGTGACCGATTTCAAGTATTTTTTTATATAAATTTGTGAAGAAACGTTTTTTAATCTAGCCCCTGTTGTTCTGGAAAAAATATGATTTAGTTCAAACAAATGAATACAAACTGCAGTGCAAAGTATGGATGGCATTGATTTACCCGTTAAAGAGAATATATTTGAGGATAAGTTGCGATACGAATTTTGACCGCACTATAATAGTTTGATTTCTGAGAAGGGAGCTTTTTTTATATACAGTATCTCCATCTGTCTGCTTAGATGTTGTACACCCACCAGGGCGGTGCTACTGACTGAAGTGCTTTTAGGCCATTCCCAAAGGGGGGGGGGGGGGGGGATTAACATCTCGAGTTCTTATGCACAGTAGAATTGTAATTGTAAATGGGTTGATTCATCAATGCCATTCTCATAACTGTGCCTGAACTGTTACTGCAACAGGGAACTGCTGCTTTTTCTTTCCTAATCCTAACTATCGTCATTTCTCCTCTTCTTCTTTCGTATGTTTGTCACACTCTTAAGACCCGTTATTTCCGGGATGCCTTGATAGTCGAAGCAGACTTTGTGCTGCTGAAGCTAGATAGGTGAGCAGAGTAAGTCTGATTCCCTGTATGGACTTCTCTGTTGACATCCACCCCTTGGCGCTCATATGACCTTATGCAGTTGCGAGCGCTGTAAAACCTCTACTAAAACTAAACTTAGACGTTGTACCCATCTCTAACCGGGCTGGCCCTCACAGTCAGGGTCGAGTTACTCAGCCTCCTAAATAGTCTAAAGTCTAAACTGTGCCGATAGGGACGTACAACATATGACATTACAATTTATTTTTAAAAAACAAAACATTTGCCTTTTTTAATTATAGGATTCATGTCTGGCTGTAGTTAAGTCCCAAACTGCTGTCGTGCCATTCGATCTACTGTTTTCTCATTTATGGTGACAGGGAGAAAGAAAGAAAAACACAAAGCAACTTGACACCAAAGTCTAATTTCAGCTAAAAGTACCCCCCCCCCTTACCGTACGGTTATGAAAATAGGTCAAAATCATGCATGACATCACAGCGACCTCAAAGTGGCGCCACGGAGAGTGGGACCTCCGATGTGCGTAGGGTGTCAGGTTAGATCCAAATAAGGTCTAAGTCTAACTTTTCTTATTATCAAGGGAGCGTACTAAGGTCACTTCCGCGATGACTAAACAACGTGACGAGTCATGCATTCTTCGCATAGCTTTTCCATTTCTAGTGTTTTAAGAGCACCGAACGTATTCAACGCCTTTTCGGAATGGCTGCTTGGTGTAATCAGATCTGACCTAATCAGTTTTGAAGGCTAGATGCCATGAGTGATTACAATTGATATTTGGATGGACAATATACTATATGTTTCACGGCGCGGTTAAATCAGGCACTCGTCAATCTTGGGGCATAATATGGAGTTATTGGTATAATCTGAGTTTGCCTGACTTTTGATTTAGAGAATACCCATTTGTCTTACATAGAAGTCGAGATACTTACGACTGAAGGAATGGGGACCGCTTGGTATCTGACGTAAAATCAGGAGAAAAAAAATAATGTTCACCAGTTTGGTGACCTCCAAAGCTTGAGTGTCTCTGGAAACTACAAATACTTAACAAATTAACATTCTTGAGAAAAGTCCGACTAGAAATGTGTTTTAAATGGACCTAAATCATATAGAAGCCCAAAACTAAAAATCAATAGGAATTGCCAACAGGCGGGAGAATGGCAATTCCTTTGATTTTATTGTTTTTAGAGAGCTTGATTTCACCATGACGCCTGACTTATTCGAGTTGTCCTATCATGTTGCACATCTTTCAGAAGTCGTCTTTTCTTTAGCTTTTGCTCTTATTCGAATCTTTGTCAATTGTGTTTATTTCTGATACATGTATCATCATTTTTGGAAGCTTCTTTTTTGTGCGTTGAGTCTTTGCCGATCATTTCTTATTTTTTGTGTGCAGGCCTACCATTCTAGATACAGTTATCAGTTCTCCTTTACTTTCTTCTTTCCAGAAAATGGATCTATCTTGACATTTATAATTTCTCCGAAATGTTGCTCGCCGATAATAGGCACAATCTTGATCAGCTCTGTTAGCTCGTATAAAGGTCTGTACTTCCTTTTCACGGTATATGTAACAGAGGCAGAGACAATTTTAATGTGACAGTATTCACTTGCTCTTCGTAGCTATGCTTTCATATTAAGCATAAACGTCTTTTCTCTGTCAGTGGCATATTCGGGAGTTGCTTCTTTACACACTGACAGATGTCTTGAAAACTGTCTTTGCTACATCAAGTCACGACTGTGTTATTTGTTTTTGTGTGTCGTTTGGTACAAGTTCAAATTGTCAGTCCGTGCGTTTACTTCAGTTTTCTTGGCATACTTCCTTGGCATTGTATTGGTGAAGTCAGTCAATATGAGGACAAACTGACATTATTTGCTTTTATGAGTTACAAAGACCATTACATCAGAAATGATCTATAAGCTCTATCAAAACCGTAAGATTATTTAGAGTCGTAATCAAGATATTCAAAAAATAGCATTCGAAAAAGCTTGACATGATATTGTAAAACTCGCATTTTTCACGTTAAATTTCTCAAAACTAGGTACTGGGCAGATAGAACTTTTGTAATTCTAAGGTCTAAGGTAACCGTTTTTGAGACTTCGAACCTGTTGGTAGCCAGGCTACGGAGAAAAAGGCTGTGTGACTGAACACGCAGACAAACGTAGACAAAACACTTGTGCGAAGTGGGTTAAGAAGTCAGTTTTCCCCACTGGTTTACGTTTGTCTTCAATAGGCACATTTGCCGATTAGTATTTTGGAATGTAACGTTCCAGGTGTTTGTTTTATTTTATTTTTTGGGAACTTCCGAGCAGAGAAGTACTACGACTTGGAGAACCATGAACACCGATGTGTGTCTCATAGTCGGCGCTTAATAAAGAAGACCAGGAAGGGTCAGTGTGATATATTTATGGTCATTGAATTGAACGAACTCATTCACGGTTTATTTAATTCTTTGGATTGGACATAATGGCAGAGAAAACGGAATTCACCTCACTCCTGACTGCCACCAGACACGATAGAGTGACAAACATTTCGGAGGAGTCTTCCTCCTCCTCGTGTGAGGAAAATAGTGTCCTTTATTCTATCAACTCTTGTGTGGAGAGATGCGTGACCAGTGAAGAGGAAGAAGAGAAAGAAGAAGACGATGAAGACGATTGGGACTTTGTGGATGAGAGAGATGTGGCGTACCTCACGTTCTCCTCGGAGTCTGCCGGGAGCAGGATAAGAAGGGTTAAGTGGTCATCGATGTGTCCGCTCTGGTTCTGTGGACTGGGCAGGTCTTGCTTTTGCCGAGGACGCAGTGGCCCGAGGTGGCGTCGTTGCAGTTGTAAATGTATTGAAAAGGTTTGTGTTTGTGGGGTGTTGGTGGTAGCTGTTGTTGTTGTTGTTGTTGTTGCTTTTGCAGTTGTTGTCGTTGTCGTTGTTGTTGTTGTTGTTGTTGTTGTTGTTGTTGTTGTTGTTGTTGTTGTTATTGTTATTGGGGACGAAGGCAGGAATTTTGTACGTAAAATGTCGTTGTTTTTGTTGCTGGTATCATGATTAATGATAGAAGCAGGGATGTTGTTGTTATTGTTGTTTTTGTTGCTGTTGTTGTTAATGTTGTTAATGTTGCTGTTATGTCGATGGTAGTGACGCTGCTTTTATTTTCAGTGCTGTCAGTGCTTTTTATAGATATATTATAATATTGCAATGTACTAATGTTGGCGGCAATGTTAATGCTCTTTGGTACTTGATGGCCAGCCTGGCTCTTTCTCAGGCAAGCAAGCAGCTAATACGTGCATGCACTTACTCATCTCTCAGATAGAGAGAGAGAGAGAGAGAGAGAGAGAGAGAGAGAGAGAGAGAGAGAGAGAGAGAGAGAGAGAGAGAGAGAGAGAGGGGTAGAGAGAGAGAAGTTAGGAGAAGAGAAGAGGGACAG